TCTTCAGGGAAGCCTATCCCACCTCAACCTAACCACTGAACCTTCACATTCTCACATAATTCATTCCCACAGCTTCCACAGCTACCTCATGTATCATTTCCCCCTCCTCTTTTAGATTGTAAGCCCTCGGGGGCAGGGCCCTCCTTACCATCTTGTCTTGAATTGTATTGTAACTGTAATGTCTTCCTTATATTGTAAAGCGCTGCGCAAACTGTTGGCGCTATATAAATACTATGTAATAATAATAATAATAATAATTGAGTGATGGTTGTAGAACCACGGATCTGCAGCTAAAACTACGAGCTGTAGTTAAATTTCTGGCGAAAGATGGTTGCGCACCTAAGCAAATCTATAATCGGCTAAAGAATCTTTATGGGGACGCTGTAGTGGAATTTCGTCCACTACAGCGTCCCAATAAACATTCTTTAGCCGATTATGGATTTCGTTAGGTGCACAACCCTCTTTCACCAGAAATTCAATAACAGCTCGTTGTTTTAGCCACAAATCCATGGCTCTAATCACTCAATCTAAAAGAGAAAAGCATATATTATTGGGGTAAGGACACCTCTATAACATGGTACATGAACATTCACAGTCACTCTAATAGATCTCAAAGCACAGACATAGAAGCATTACTTTTTGATTGACCCTCGTACATATATTTTGATCTGTTGCAGACTATGGTATACATGCATATAGTAAAATGTCTACAGAAACCTATTAAAATAGTGCTGTTTCAAAAAGTTCTTAAGTTTGCAAATTTGGGATTTATACCTAAGCTCTCCTTTGCTGAAAAACAAAATACTGTATCTATTATACCTTCTAAATCAGGGGTCTCAAATTTAATTCACACGGGGGCCACTCGACAATGTTTTTTCTCCTATGAGGGCCGCTTGCCAAATTTCATACTTTAAAATAAAATTTAACTATATCTGGTTTGGTACTACGGACACTAATATACTCACAATAAGGCCCCATTCATATATGTAGGTTTAGGTGCGATTAGGGATTTCTGCATCAGGAACTTGCGTTTTCCTGAAGCAGGAATCACTAATCTGGCTTTTAACAAGTGACAACTGTCACCCATTCAAGTTAATGATCAGGTGACAGCAGCTACATGTAAACGCCTGCCCACCGCATGTAATGATATGTGATATTATTACATGCGGTTAGAAAACCCTCTCCCTGGATACACAATCGATGCGCCCAGGGAGAGTGATTGATTCCTAACCAAATGTAATCATATCACATACCATTACATGCAGTATGCAGGCATTTACATGCAGCTGCTGTCACCTGATCATTAACTTGAATGGGTGACAGGTAACGCTTTTAAACGCCAGATAAGGCATTCCTGATGCAGGAATCCCTAATCGCACATAAAGATACAGGTGTGAATGGAGCCTAATACACTCCCCCATACACATACAAAATACTAGCCCTGTACATATAAAATAATACACTCCACCCCTCCACATAAAAAATACTACCCCTGCACATATAAAATAATACCACCCCCTCCCCCCCATACACATAAAAAATACTACCCCTGCAAAAATATAATACATCCCCCCCCCCATACACTTTAAACATACTACCCCTCTG